GCAGGAATCTGCCTCTCCCCAGTGTTGAGGTCAGTTGGCTCTGGCTCAGCGCACTGTGATCCTTCACGTTTCTTCTTTCTGGGTCTCTCTTTCCCCAGCCTGTGAAATGGGGCCACCAGTACGTACCTCTCAGGGCTGCGGTCAGGAAGGGAGGCGGCCGGGGCAGCGCTCGCGAGGGCGGCACCAATTGCTGGTGGCTCCCTGCCCCGGCCCGCGCGCCCCCCACCCGGCCCGCGCCTCCACACCGCCTCGGCGCGCAACAAACCGGCTCTGCGGTCCAGGCGCCCCCCTCGCCCCTAGCTCTCCCTCCCGCGCGAGGCCCCGGAAGCCGGGCCGCCCCGCCCCCGCGCTCTCGCCCCGGCCCCCGCCCCCCGCCGGAGCCCCGCCCGCCTTCCGACGGGGGTGCAGCTCCAGGAAACGGCGCGCTCGCAGCTCAGCGCTCCAGCGACACGACGCGCCCCGGACGACCCCGCCGACGCAGCCAGACCACCCAGCGGGCCCCAGCGGCGGCGGCGGCAAGAGCGGCTCCGGGTCCCGCGCCTCGGACCCCTCCCCACGGACGGGGCGGGCGGTGCCGATAGGAGCCCGGAGGCCATGGGGACCTGGGCCAGGCTAGCGATCGCGGGCCAGCGGGAGCCCCGGGTCTGAGGAACGGGCGGCGGAGGCGGCAGGGCCATGACCTCGGTGTGGAAGCGCTTGCAGCGCGTGGGCAAGCGGGCCGCCAAGTTCCAGTTTGTGGCCTGTTACCACGAGCTGGTGGTGGAGTGCACCAAGAAATGGTGAGTGGGAGGGAGGCCTGGGAGACTCGCCAGACTGGCTGGGACCCCATCCGGCCTTGGGGGCCTGAGAATCCTGCCCCCAGTCCAGTGACCAAAGAGGCCGCCTATCCCAGCTTAGGCCCTGGTGATCCAGGCACAGAGAAGTGCCATTGCAGCTTGTGGCATCCCCAGAGTTGAGGGTGTGGGCAGCCTTTGGGGAGTGGAGGTCAGGACTTGCAGACCTGAGAATCTGTCTGGGCCCACACTTGCCTCAACTGCACTCAGGGCTGGGGGAAGGGAGGCCTCCTGGTTTTGGCCAGAGGAATGGTTCAAGGTGGCATCAGAAAAGGGAGCAAGTTTTGCCGGTCTTCGGGTGGAGGGGCTGGGACAGCAAACACCATGGCCCTAGTCCAGCTCAGAACAAGGATGTTGCCCCTTTCTCCGCTGCCCATTTGTTGAACCAGAGGAACCACCCGCCCCTTCAGCCGGAGTGGGCACTGGGAGGCTGGATCCGTCTCTACAATATCCTTAAAAGGGGAAACTGAGCGCTGGGAGGGATGAGGAGGGAGGCGGGGAGCAGCTTAAAAGGGCCTGAGGACTTAGGAGGTTGTGGGTCGTGGAGGAGGAGAGCCTGGGGAAGGCAAGGTGGTGGGGTGCGGGGAGATACGTAAAGGGGTGCAGGACCCCCCAGCCCAGACTGCCGAAGGACCCGGGGCATCTCGTTCACATTCCCCCACCCGCAGCTGCCTGGGCCCCTGCGTCACACCCTAAATATACGTGCTTGCTAGTGTCAGCTTCCCCTGGCTGGATTAGGGCGCAGCTGTGGGGGCCTCAGCCGCCAGGCGGGGCTAAATTTAGGCTCCCAAGTGAAAGCACAGGAAGGGACCAGGGGGTCCAAAGGGAGGGGAGTGAGCAGGAGGCCTGGGGTCCTTTGGGCAGCTGTCATATCCCTGATGTTGACTGGGCCAGCCAGAGGGTGGTTCACACCACTCAGCAAGGCCCAGAAAGGACGGGCTGGCTGGGGTAACACAGCACAGGGCTGGGACTTGAACTCTGGCCTGTGGCTTCTGCCTTCTGCCCCAGCATCCTGGGTGAAGACAGGGGGACGCTGGGCACAGTCCGGAGAGCTGGCTGAGGGTGTGGGCAGTGTCAACGTGTCTGAGTCACAGGCAGCGGGCAGGGCCTCCTGAGCTTTTTCGCCTGGAGCCCCGGCTAGGAAGCTGCCTCTGCCCAGGTCACAGCTCCCCAGGAGGGCGTGCCCAGCCTGAGTCAGGCTGCCTAGCCAGGCCCCGCCCTCCCTAGGCTCTCACTGTCTTCTTCCCCTTTCTGGGAAGTCCCCATGGCTGCCCTTAGCCATCGCCTGCAGTTTGGGGTCCAGGAGAGGCACTTGGCTCCAGGCTGGAGGGCTCTAGGCTCAGCTGTGTGCCCTTGCCTGGCCCCTAACCTCTCTGGGTCTCGGCATCCTCTGGGGCTGACAGGAGAGCCAGTTATCCTGGCTCGGCCTCCAGAGGGGCAATGAGCTGGGTGAACCTGAGCGTCCTGGCAAGGGACAGCGTACAGGCAAGGAGGGCTCTTACGTTGCCATCTGCCTGATGATCCTCTAACCATCCCCACCCTCCTGGGCAGCAGTTGACCTCTCCAACGCAAAGGGGCCCTCTCCCTTCCAGGCCCAGCCACGTGTCTGGGACTCGGCCCCACGCAGCTGACACTCTTCTCTCGCTTTGTCTCTGTCTCCCCACATCTCTGCCTCTCCTCTGAGTCTGCCCTGGCATATGCTGTTTCGGCTTAGATGCCACCTTCTAGAAGTCTTCCCTGGTGCCCCTTGTGGGAATCGGGGGCCCTGCAAAGCAAAAGGCTGGGCATGGAAGGTCCTGGGAGGGTATCGAATGACAAGCTGACCCTATGCCTCTCTGCCTACTTCCCAACCTCTGCCCTCCCCTCCCGACCTTACACACACCCCCACCCCATCCTGGGACCCTGGCTCTTGCCATCCTCTCTGCCTGGAGCCTTCCTTCTCCAGACCCTCCTGACATGACCCATTCCCTGCCCCAGAAGGGTCTTGCCTCTCCTTTGCTTGGCTCTGCCCCCAAACTGGGCTGGGGTAATAGTATGCACTCTACAAATATTTGTGAGTGAATGGACTTCTTTTACTCTGAGTCTGTCTCCCTGTGTCTCTGAGTCTGTGTTTCTTGCAGGGTACTTGTTGTGTTTCTGTCTGTCTCTGTGTGTGCCTGTCTCTCTGTATGACTTTCTTCATACTTCCTGCTGCCCCACAGGCCTTTGCCCTCTGGCCCAGGCCTCACGCTGCCTCAGCAGCCCCACCCTGCTCCCTGTGGCCCCAGATAAGGGGCTGTCTGGGCCCTGTCCTGGGGGAGGGGGATGTGGGCAGAAGGGAGGCTGGAGGAGATAGAAAGGCCAGGTGGGCCTGACTGAGTAGCCCCCTCTCCCCGCTCCGCCTCCCAGGCAACCGGATAAGCTGGTGGTAGTGTGGACCCGGCGGAACCGACGCATCTGCTCCAAGGTGAGGGAGGATGTCAGCTGGGGGTCCAGGTTGGGGGTGGGGCCAATTGGGGGTGGGGTGGGGTAAGTGGGTCAGGGCTGAGGGGTGAGTGGAGTCAGGTTCAGGTTCAGATCAGAATCCATAGAAGGGAGAGAAAGATGGGGTCCAGGTTGGAGATAAGGGCAAGGGGTGAGGGGGAGAGTTAGTATTGGGGGGTAGAACTCAGACTGCTCATTGTAGGCCCACAGCTGGCAGCCGGGCATCCAGAACCCATACCGGGGCACCGTGTTGTGGATGGTACCTGAGAATGTGGACATCTCTGTGACCCTATACAGGGTAAGTCTCTAGCCCTCCTGCACAGATGGGAATGAGCCGTTGATTGCAATCCTGGGCAGCCATAGGAGGCCCCTGGTGCATTATCCATCCAAATAGAAAAGAACAGAGGGGTGAGACCAAGAATCATGGCAGGGGGCCTATTCAGTGTGAGTGGCCCAGGAGGTCTCCTTGGAGGAGGTAGCATTTAGCCGCCACATGAAGAGAGCTGGGATCAGGAGAAGCCGGGGAGCATACCTGCCAGGAGGGCTCAACATGTGTGAAGGCCCCATACAATCACCTCCTGAGCCAGCACAGGCTCTTCTCCCTGCCCTGTCCCCACCGCAGCAGCCTCTGTACTCAACGGTGCCCCCTTTTCCCAGGACCCACATGTGGACCAGTATGAGGCCAAAGAGTGGACGTTTGTTATTGAGAATGTGAGTCGCTGGGGCGGGCTGGAGCCTGGGGTCTCGGGGACTCTGGGGCAGCACTGATGCTCCTTCTTCCTGCCCCCAGGAGTCCAAGGGGCAGCGGAAGGTGCTGGCCACAGCCGAGGTGGACCTGGCCCGCCATGCAGGGCCTGTGCCTGCCCAAGCCTCACTGCGGCTGCGGCTGAAGCCCAAGTCGGTGAAGGTGGTGCAGGCCGAGCTGAGCCTCACTCTCTCTGGGGTGCTGCTGCGGGAGGGCCGCGCCACGTGAGTGTCCAACTGCCCTCCTGGGCCCTAGTCTATAACCTCTGACCGTAGCCCTCACCCCTGATCTCTGACCCCCAGGGATGATGACATGCAGAGTCTTGCGAGCCTCATGAGCATGAAGCCTAGTGACGTGGGCAACTTGGAAGACTTTGCTGAGAGTGATGAGGAGGAGGCTAATGGTCCAGGGGGCCCGGAGGCGAGGGCTCGTGTCCTCCAGCCAGGTGAGCTCACAGCTGTGGACTGAGATCACCAAGACCTAGGGAGGGTGGAGGATAACCCGGGCCAAAATCCACGTGCTCTTTTGGGGCAGGGCCAGCTTGTGCACGCCCAGTGGTCGGAGCGCACTATTGCCAGGTGGTCCCAACCTGCCCAGCAGCCCTGATTGTCCTGCAGAATGGGTTTCCAGTACCTCCCTGTGCCTCTGGCCCTCTCCTCGCCCCTGAGTACCTGCCTGCCCACGTACCTGCCCCGAGACAGCTGGGCCAAAAGCGCAGAGAGGGGCTGCAGTCCAGGCTTGCCACCCCTCACTACCCAGCCTCGTCCCTCCGTTTTGCTTGTTAAGGCTTTTTTTTTCCATCTGTCCTTGTTGGTCCTGTCTCTCTTTTCCTCTGCACCTGTGGGCCTGTCTCTTCTCGTAGGCCGGGGCGGTTCCCTGAGGCTGGGGCGTTTCCCAGGTAGGCCCAGCATTCTAGTTGTGGGGAGGGGGTCAGACCTGCAGGGCCCTTCCCTGGGCTGACCTGCCCCCAACACCCCACCCCCAGATACTTCTCGGGAGCTGAAGACACTCTGTGAGGAGGAGGAAGAGGGCCGATTTCGGCCCCGGCAGGCAGGTGAGGCCCAGGCTGGGGTTGGGACGGTGGAGACTGGGCCTCCAGTCACAGGGCCCAGGCCTCAGCATCCCCCTTCCTTCCCCCCCAGCTGCCAGCCCTTCTAGTGCCGAGGATACCAGCCCAGCCCCTGTGAGTTCCCCTGCGCCCCCAGCCAGGGCCTGCCGGGGCCAGGGGTCAGAACCAGCTCCTGTAGCAGGGGGCCAGGTGGGGCCCAAGGCCCCAAGGCCCCCCGGAACCCCACCAGAGACAAGGTGAGCTTTGGAGTCAGCCCCAGCCCCCCCTCCCATCTCCTCTTAAGAAGTTGCACACCCCTTGCCAACCTGCCTTTCCAGGGTCCCAGCAATCTGAGAGGTTGGGGGGGGGCGCTGAGAGCTGGGGGCCAGACAAGCCCCTGCAACGCACCCTCCTGCTCTCTCCTCAGGTCCTCAAGACAGCCAGGCCAGGACGCGGCCCCCAGCCCGGCCCCTCGGCTCCGGAAAGGCTCTGATGCCCCCTGGCCCCCAGTCCCCCAAGGGGGAGATGAGGCCCCCAACGCCTCAGGGGCTCCCCCAGCAGGCGTGAATTCTGCTGTGGATACCCAGGCCTGGGCAAGCCCTCAGAAAGGGACAGAGGCCCAGGGAACCGGGCTGGGCCCAGGCATTGAGGACAGAGATTCCAGCAACTCTTTGGAAGGGCAGAAACCCAAGGTTGAGGAGGGGGGCATTGGGGACAGGCCAGAGGCCAGTGGGGTGGACACTGAGCATGGGTCAGGAGTCAGAGAGGTGAACAGTAAGAGGTCAGAGGTCAGAGCTGGGGAGGCTGAAGAGAGTTTAGAAGTTGGTCAGGTGGATGCTGAGCAGAGGTCAAAGGTGAGACATGTGGACACTAAGGGACCAGAGGCTACAGGGGTGACATCTGAGGCAAGATTCAAGGGAACTCCTGAGGCTCCTCCAAGGGGCTCTCAGGGGAGGACAGGGGTCAGGACCAGGGAAGAGGCTCCCACCATCCTGAGCCCACCCCCAGCAGAGCCGGCAAGGCAATCCAGGCATCTTGGTGACCTCAAGGGGGCCAGGGCTGCTGCGGGCCAGGAGAGAGAGGGTGCAGAGGTGAGGGGTGGAGCCCCTGGTGTTGCGGGGACAGGCCTGGAGCAGGGCCCCTCTGCTGGAGCAGCAAGCGCCAGGCCCCAGGTGAGCCAGTACCAGGGGGCCCCACGAGCAGCTGACCAGGGGGTGATGTCCAGGGATATGAGGGTCTGGGGAGTAGAAACTGGGGATTTGAGGGACCTGGGAACAGAAACTGGGGTGACAGAATCAGAGTTATTGGGGACCCAGAGAACAGAAGTGGGTGGGTCAGGGCTCCCCGAGATAGAGGCTGAGACAGCAGAAGTGGAGATATTGGGGGCCCAGGAGACAGAGGCAGTGAGATCAGGGGTCCTGGAGTCAGAGGTTGCTGAGATGGCAGAATCTGAGGAACTAGGGACCCAGAAAACAGAAGTAAGGGTTTTAGGGGTCCCAGGGGCAGAGGCCGGGATGGCAGAGTGTGAGGTACTGGGGACCCAGGAAACAGAGGCTGTGGGTACAGGAGTTCTGGGGATGAAGACTAGGATATCAGAGATTGTAGGGATCCAGGAGATATCTGGGGGTTCACGGGTACTGAAGATAGAAGCTGAGACAGCAGAATCTGAAATATTGGGGGCCCAGGAGACAGAGATGGGGTGTTCAGGGGTCTCAGAGATAAAGTTTAAGATAACAGGGATGCAGGAGACAGAGTTATGGGGTTCCGAGGTCCCAGGGATCGAGACTGAGACGGCAGAAGCTGAGATACTGGAGACCCAGGAGATGGCAGCTGGGGGTTCATGGGTCCCAGGGATGGAGATTGAGACATTGGGGACCCAGGAGACAGAGATAGGGGGCTCAGGGGCTCCAGGGACAGAGACTGAGACGTTGGGGACCCAGGAGACAGAGGTAGGGGGTTCAGGGGCCCCAGGGACAGAGACTGAGATGTTGGGGACCCAGGAGACAGAGGTAGGGGGTTCAGGGGCCCCAGGGACAGAGACTGAGACATTGGGGACCCAGGAGACAGAGGTAGGGGGTTCAGGGGCCCCAGGGACAGAGACTGAGACATTGGGGACCCAGGAGACAGAGGAAGGGGGTTCAGGGGCCCCAGGGACAGAGACTGAGACATTGGGGACCCAGGAGACAGAGGTGGAAGATTCACAGTTCTCAGGGCCAGAGGCTAGAATGGCAAAGGCTCAGGGTCTGGGGCCTCAACAGACAGAAACTACAGTTTTAGAGGCTGAGAAGGCAAAGGCTCAGACTTCTGGGGCCCAGAGGGCAGAGACTGGACTCTGGGAGACCCTCAAATATGAGGCTTTAGGGGCCCCAGTCATAAAGCATGGAATTTTAGGGTCCCAGGGAGCAGAGGCAGAAACTATAGTTTTGAGGGGCCAGGAGGTGGAGGCTGGGATTTTGGGAGTTTCAGAGGCCATGTCTGGGGTTTGGGGGTCCGAGGAAGCAGAGACAGAGGTTTCAGGGGCTTCAGAGAACCAATCTGGTATTTTTGAGGCCCAGGAAGCAGAGGCTGGGGTCTCAGGAACCGAGAAGGGAAAAGAAGCTGAGGGAAACCTCCCAGAGGCCAGCCTGATTGAGGCGCAGGTGGCCAGTGGGGCAGGGGCTGGGGTGCCCAGGCCCTCGGGGGCCTCTTCCCCAGAGGAGCCTGAAGAGGACAGGAGGCTGCCGGGCAGCCAGGTAGGGATGGGGGCCGCCAAGGGCCCAGTCTGCTGCTTCCCACTAACCTGGGCTGAGCTAATGGCGGCTCTGCATGGACCCACCTGGCCGACTGGGGTGGGGTGGGACAGGGGCTTAGCCTCAAGGAGCCCCTCACCCCCTCCTCTCTGAGGGTGCCCTGGCTCCCCCGCCCTGTCTTCCCTGGGTTGCATGGAGCGGGATGCCCCTAAAGCTGATTTTCTGAGCTGACCTCGAGGTGTGGCTGCTCGTGGCCTCTGATATTGCCTGGGGACCACTGGCCTTTTAGGTGACCTTGGTAGATAACACTGGAGCTGGAAACCCTTTTGCCTGACCCTAAGGCCCTGGCCAGTGGTCCGTGGTGACTCCTGCAAACCCAGAGTTGGAGCTGTTTTGTGCCCAAGGGGCAGAGGGCACAAGTCCCACGTCCACATTCCCTAAGCCCATCCCTGTGTCCCCAGGCACCACCCACCCCGGTCAGCTTCAGTCAGTCCCTGCTGGAGTGGTGCCAGGAAGTCACCGCCGGCTACCGTGGCGTCCGCATCACCAACTTCACGACATCCTGGCGCAACGGCTTGGCCTTCTGTGCCATCCTGCACCGATTCCACCCGGACAAGATGTGAGCTGCCAGAGGGAGTGGAAATGAATGGGGGAGGCTGCCAGGAGGGGAGGGTGGTGTGAATCCAGCCTCTGATCAGCGCTCTCTCTGCAGCGACTTTGCCTCCCTGGACCCACTCAACATCAAACAGAACAACAAGCAGGTGAGACAGGGTGGGAGTGGTGCCTGGAGGGAAGGAGGATCCAGAGCCAGGCCTAAGCTAAGATTTAGGTTCCTTGTCCATCTGTGTGTAGGAGAGGAATCTGGGGGCTTCATGGCCCCAGCTGTGGCTTTTGGAAGTTCTGCCACGTAGTACCCTTTTGGTCTTTATATTTTTCGTTTTCCTGAGTTTAGCTTTGTTTTTTTTAAGCATATTTCCACCAGATGGTTTTTCCCAAAAGCACCCCGTTTGGTGTGCAGTTGCTGGGTAACACAGGGGCGGGCCATGTTGCTAGATTTCCCCCAATAGGAAGGTGAAGGCGTTGTTGGCAAACCCAGGCGTGCCAGTCGCAGGGACCTCCTCGTCGTTCCGGGGCGGGGCGGCAGGGTCGCTGGCTGACCCGCCGCCGATGACCCGAACGAACGCACCGTCCCTAGGCCTTTGATGGCTTCGCGGCCCTGGGCGTGTCGCGGCTTCTGGAGCCGGCGGACATGGTGCTGCTGTCGGTGCCCGACAAGCTCATCGTCATGACGTACCTGTGCCAGATCCGTGCCTTCTGCACGGGGCAGGAGCTGCAGCTGGTGCAGCTGGAGGGCGGCGGCGGCGCCGGCACGTACCGCGTGGCCAGCTCCCAGTCGAGCCCGCCCGACGAACTGGACACCGGCGGCCTGGCGCAGCGGCTGCGCGAGCACTGGGCCCAGGAGCCCCAGGAGCCCCAGGAGCCCCAGGAGGCCGCGGCCCGCGCAGACGGGACGGCCCCCGAGGCGGCCTCCAAGGACCGCGGGGCCGAGGCCGCCCAGGAGGCGCGCTCCGTGGCGCCCCCGGCAGACGGCCCTGGAGCTCGGGCATCCGTGCCCCCGACAGAGGGGCTGGTGAACGGCATGGAGGCGCCGGGCGCCGCGGGCGGCGTGAGGCTGCGGCGGCCGTCGGTCAACGCGGAGGCCGGGCCTGTGCCCCCGCCCCGCGCGCACGGCTCCTTCTCCCACGTGCGCGACGCTGATCTGCTGAAGAAGAGGCGCTCGCGGCTGCGGAACAGCAGCTCCTTCTCGGGGGACGACCCGGACTCGGGAGCCGCGGGAGCTGCCGGAGCGGCGGCGGTGAGTGCCCTCCAAGCGGCGCGGGGGTCGGGGGAGCAGGGCAGAGGAGGGGCGGGTCTTGAGGGACCCCAAGGGCAGGGCTGGCGCGGGGCGGGGGGCGGTGGCTCCAGGGCGGCCGGCCTCTGCAAGATGCGGGGAGGCGTCTGATTTGAGGCACCGGTGCTGCGTAAGTCCCTCTCGAGGACGAGATAGCTCTGCCAACTCCTCAGCGGGGGCGCCAGTGCCCAGCGCGGCGGCCCGGCGCCAATTTTTTTTTTTTTAATGAATTTATCTATTAACTTATTTTTGGTTGCGTTGGGTCTTTGTTGCTGCGCGTGGGAGCAGTGCGCGGGCTTCTCATTGCAGTGGCTTCTCTTGCTGTGGAGCACGGGCTTCAGTAGTTGTGGCTCGCGCGCTCTAGAGCGCAGGCTCAGTAGTTGTGGCGCACGGGCTTACTTGCTACGCGGCATGTGGGATCTTCCTGGACCTG